GCGCAGAAACTGCGGACAGTTCCGGTTTTACTTTTAAAGTATATAGTAAAAGTTACTTTATTTATGTTTTTTCATTTTTCTCCGTGTATATTTGGTTCAAATAAACCATTATTTCTATATAGATGTAATAGTACGATTTTTTGAATCAAATATACTTTTTTTCAGTGTAGGTTTTGGAGAATTAAAAATAAGCCCCAAAGATTATAATTTTTAAGAATAAGTTTGATTTTTCAATATATATATATAAAAAAATCGGGTTATTGACTCAAAGGAAGTGTTCCTTTTGAAACAAAACCACTTCCGTTGAGGTGCGGCTCCCGCAGTGAGATTTCCAGGAATGGATATATTTTTGCCTCTCGATCTCGCTACATTATATATATGGCTAAACAGAACGAAAACCATTGGAAAATCTCTCACGATATTGCGCATATACATCTTTAGAAAAAGAATGTTGGCACCTAAAAGATCCTTTATATATATACGCCTTATTTTCAAATGTTCCATACTGCTTTTCTCTTGAATCGAAAGGAAGCATAGTTCGCCATTCAAGGTTCTTGACAATCTTATACACACACGTAAGGTTATGGCACACACCACTTAGGAAACTTTCAGCTTGCTAAACCAAATGACAACCTTATATGATCAACACATTGCAATTCTTAATTCTAAGAATGGGAATCATGATCTTAAGAAATTTTCTTTTTTGCACACACGAGAAAAATTTTACTTGGCTTTCTTATACATATATTCTATATGGTAAAAAAATTAATAAAATCAAAATTCGTTTTGTATATTTATTTATTACGTACTATATAGTATACTATGAAAAAAATTTACTTCATTCAAATAATCTACTTGACTATTATCAAATAAATATTTAATTGAACCGAATAATTTTTGAAAACCATAATTGAATTAAATAAACTGATATTTAAACAGTAATTTCTGTATTTTAAACAAAAAAAACCTCTCAAAAAAAAATTATTATGATATAACAAATTTGAATGATGAAATTTTAAAAATGAAAAAAAATATAAAAAATCAATTTTAAGATTCAGAAAGGCAAAAAAAAGTTCGGATAACAGAGAAGTTCTGACAAAATATTTTACGGTTCCGTTAACAGAAGTTCGGATAATCGAGGTTCTATTATACTATATAAATACGTATATACACATATAATAATAGTACGTATAATTAATAAATATATAAAATAAATGTATTTTAATTTAAATAATTTTTTAATACTTTTCTGAATTTGAATCAGCGATTCACATTAAAAAAAATTTTTAATGATTAAAATGAAATAAATAAAAAATATGCCATATATATACAAAAAGCGATGGGTAATTAATTTTTAAATTTAGTCATATAGAGAGTTTTGCGTCAGCTGGGGTATATATATATATATATCTATATCTATAACCACTTGTTCGCGTATTCACATTGTAGAGTGTTACAGGTTCACGCAAACCCGTTTGCACACTAAAGGCGCACGCATGATTTACGAACGTGAATAAAATCACTCACTAAACAGTGACTTAATGTATATTCATGCTGGTCTTTACAAATGGCATAAAAAGCCACGCGTTGGTTCCATTATCAAAATATAATAACATATTTGTTAAGTTTTCCACCCTTTTTGCTATACCCTTTCAATTTGTCACATATATTCTATTATTATTATATTTTTTTAATCAAAACAAATATAATTGGTTTCAAATAAAAATTTTGCTAGGCACAAATTATAATAATAATTATTATTATTTTTAATTATTATGATTTTGCAATTATAATTATTGGATCCAGAATCGATAACAAGTACAAATTATAATATAATTTATTTATACATAATACATAAATTTATTTATTTATATATTTATACGTAAAATTGCATTTTTTCATCAATTTCAAATTGAAATATTGCGCGTTTAATCTTTTATATTTTGGTTTTCTTAAAATACATTGAAAAAAAAATTGCACGTCATTAAATGCTAATCTATAAGCATCAATCGAAGATATATATATATGTATACGCGAAAAAGTATGATAATACCCTAGTATATATAAGATGATATGTGTCTGCCTTTTGATGCGTATACAGACAGATCGATAATAATTTTAAAAATTCGTCATTCTCATCATAAATTTTAAAATCCCTGACACTTAAGGTGTCACATACCTTTTTTATTAACAAAAAAAAAAAAAAGAAACAAAACAAACAGAATCCACAAAGAAATAAATGTTAACCTGGAATTTTGTTATCGTATTTATCATCAAAAATAATATACTCCAATCAATCATCGGGTTACTATTTTACAACAATAATAATTATTGAAAATAGTTAATAAACAAATGGTACAAAAATTAATTTATATAATTTATTTTACAAAATAAATAGATAATACTAATAAATTTTTAAAGTAAATATTTTTTAACAAATAATATATAATTAATTAACTAAATAATAACAAATAATATTAATTAGTAATTAAATATTTTGATTACAAATGATAATAAAAATAAAAATTGACATTAGGTATCAATTCTTCTTCAATGAATACTGACACGTTTTTGATATAATTATTTATTAAATAAAACTGATTTTAATGTTGTTAATTTTTACAACTAATACCGAAAAAATCATACTTTTACAAGTTTCGTCTGATATTAATAAGTATAATATATATATTATAAAATTAATAAGTATATGTATGTATAAAGTCTCATTTTTCGGAATAGATAAAGAGTAAATTCATTGATCAATATGCGTGTATACCTGTATGAATATTCCAGCTTATCTCACTGATTCCGAGTAATTCAATTAATTACTAAAAAAATTCTTGTAAGATCGTTCCCATATTTTATTTATTAAAAAAAAAATTAAAATTTTCTTGCTTCTTTTTATCTTAAAAGTATAGATAATTCTAAATTCTGAGAATGACACCTAAAAACAATTTAGACTGTTATAGAAATTTAATAATTGACCTTAAAAAAATGGAGAAAAAATTGACTTATTTCTCATTCACTTTCTTATTCTTTATTCACTTATATTCACACAATTTGTGTATATGATTTTATTTTTGACTTGAAAAAAAAATTTACAGATATTTTAATTGTTTTTTTAGAAATCGTAATTTTTAAAAAAAATATATTGCATATTATTCTGCGTTGGCCATGCGCCAGACGTAAGTAGTCAGACGCAAGTAGTAATGGTAATCAAGTGCGAGACTTTGCTAATGTCCCATCGTGACCGTCATTATCTACTACTTGCGTGCAACAGCAGCGCTACAATGTTTTCTTTCACAAAAAATATTTAAAAAACAATAAATAAAAAATATTTAAATGATTATTTTATATGAAAATTTTATTTATTTTATAATAACAATAATAATAATAAACAAAAAAAATAAAAAATCGGTCCATTAGAAACAATTTCAAAAAATAATATTCAATCCAAATTTATTAAATACATCTATATTGTAAATAATTATTTATATTTATTTACAGCTGTCAACGAGAAAATTATATAAATGATTGTTTATAATTTCAATTGTATATAGAAAAGTGCCATTAGTCAGAAACATAAAAAAAATATTTTATTAACTTCCGCGAGTAATTTAAAAATTAAAAAAACAAACATTGAAAAATAATGTTAAATAATTAAAAAATTAGGATTCATTTTTTTAAATCGTTTATAATAAATAAAATATAATTAATAAAATTAAATTAACAAAATATAAATAATAAAATAAAATTATAAAAAAAAACAAAAATAATTAATAAAATCTAATTAATATTATTCAAATTAAAAATTGTAATATTTTTATTTATCAAAGAAATTATTTATTTTTAAAAAATTATATTTTAGATCCTTTTTTTATACGAGAAAAATCATTCTTTTTTGTGTAATTATAGCACGTATTTTCGTTTGTATAAAATACATATATTCTATTTTTAGGACAATTTGCAATTATTATTTTAAAGTATGCATTGAGCAAAGACAATTAGTTATAGTGTTTGAAATATCAGAATGTTATCATCGTCACTGATCGATCGTTCGATATGTTTCTCGGCATGAATCCGCTCTCGTTCCTCCGTGCGTCCAACTCACATTCAATTGCATCATTTCACGGTTACTAATTTCACGTAATGCCGCTTTTGCTCGGGATTCTGGATTTTTATGTGGCAACGATTCTGTTACTTTCGATAGTTTCCCTAATAAGAGGAAAATCACGATTTTCATTATATATATATATATATTATATATCTCTTCATCTCTTTCGGAATCCACTTCTATATATATACAACAACAACAATAATAATAATAATCCGCCGTCTCTGATTTTATCTGAAATTACGCAGAAAGAACGAAAATTATCTTCTTTGATTAAAAAAAATTTTCGTTTCATTCTTCTATATTATAAATATATCATTTTTTTAATTTGATGCTGTGAAAAAAAAATTTCAAAATAACTTTTTATTTTAGTTAAAATGAAATTGGAACAAAAAAAAAGAGCAAAATACAGATTTTTACAAAATATTCAGAGATTTTTCAAAAATAATTAGAAATTAACATAAAGAGAGAAAGTATATATATATATATATATAAAATTGTTAAGGAAGCGTATAGTAATCGGTGGTTATATAAAAAGAATTATACAAAGCTCACTGTAATAATTGGACTAACAATTATTTTTATAATTAACATAAAATATATAAGCATCTTTATGCTAAATAATAACATGTGTTTATTAGATCCATATATATATATATATATTTGTGAATTATTCATAATGCGGAAACATATATAGTTTTTCTCTTAAAACCATATGAACAAATGTGACCACACCGCACACATCCGCTAAATTATTAGATTGGAAACCACAATGTGGTCCATTAATTTAATATAGAAATAAAACAAAAAACAATCTTTAATAAAAACAAGATATTTTGTTTCTTAAAACATCACTACAATTATTTCTCTCTTTTTCTGATTACAGTGAATCCAAAAATTGGACAGTATCCAAAAAATTACAGTGCAACCAACATTGTACCAGAATTATTGGTGAGTAAATGCATATTTTTATTTTAAAAAACTGATCTCGTTTTCAATTTTTTTTTTCTTTTAAATTTTATAACAACATTGATATAATTATAAAAATTTTGCAAAAAAAAGAATTTGTTAAATTTTTTTCTAATAAATTTTTTTAATTCTTTTTCAGATTGGTCAATCAAAATCTTATCCAAGTTCATCATATCGAGATTTATCGACACATCATCATTTGGAAAATCATAATTCTCCGGAAAGTATTGACAGTGCCATTGAAGAAGAATATACATGTAAAATATGTTACAAAGTATTAAGATCAGCAAATTCGTTGGAGCGTCATATACTTGTGCATTCTGATGATTTATCCTTTAAATGTAATCCTTACAATATGGCATTCACCAGTACTAACGGAACAATGAATAGACATTCAAAAATTGCTCACAATCGTCTCTCATCATCTCACAGTTGTTCTGATTCAGAGGGTAGCAATGATTCTGAATCATCACCATCGAAAAAAATTGAGGAATACAATAATAATGAAATAGCAAAAAGAAATTCACCATCCGATCTTATTGATGATGAAAATGAATCACTTAATTTATTAAAAAGAAAATCACTCGACTATAGCGAGGATTTAACACCGCAGAAAAAATTTAAAAATAATTTATCATCAGAAACACAACATAATTACACGTGTCCAATTTGTGGTAAACATGATTTTGCCACAAGTTCACTTCTTGAGATACATCTTGAGCATCATCATTTGGAAATTGATAAATGTGACTCTGATTTACCATACAAATGTCACAGGGTTTTGAATCTTCATCGTTCGGTGAATAATATTAATGAAAATTCCTATAGAAATGCAACGAGAAATTTACGACATTCAGTGGAGGGTTTTGGTGATTTGACATTTGTCGATTTCACATCAACAAAATATCCCATGATTGCACGCGCAAAATGTGAAGAATTTCTTCATAGACCAGCGTCTGGTGAAATGGCCAAATTTCAATGTGCAAAATGCCTACGCGCCTTTCCCTGTAAGTCAGCTTTGGATTCCCACGAGATGGATTGTGGAATTCCAAATGTTCACTGGAAGGGAAACGATGCCCAATCGAGAAGGGATGATTTCTTCGCGGGATTAAATTTACAAAATAAAGCTGCCATGACAGAAGCAAAAGATGGAAAAGATTTGGCTGATATTCAAAGTATCATCAGCATCACATCGAGTCCAATTCTTCACAGTTTCTCAAGATCGGATGCAAGCACTCCAGACAATTGTAGCAACAAAATTAATCAAAATGTTGGATCGTCTGGATCATCAGGAACAGTTTCATCAGAATGTAACGAAGAGGAAACACAAGATGCGTTCGCTGCTGAATTTAGAAAAATGAAACTAAAAGGCGAATTTCCCTGTAAACTTTGCGACGCTGTATTTCCAAATTTAAGGGCTCTCAAGGGACACAATCGAGCTCACATGGGAGTTCCACCTGGAATGCCCTATCCATGTAATATTTGTAATTACACCAGCACTGATAAAACAACACTAACGAGGCATTTGAAGACGCACAATGGCGACAGACCCTTTGAATGTGCACAGTGTACTTACGCCTTTACCACTAAGGCAAATTGTGAACGACACGTTCGAAATCGTCATGGAATTCACGATAAAAATGAAGTTCAAAAAACAATAATTTATCATCCAACAGAAGATTTGACAAACGACAGTCTCGATAGAAGCATGTCAAGAAGTGTCAAGGATGAAGTGAGAAAAACTCTCGTCTTTCCCAAAGAAGAAAATTATCATTCCTATAATATGATGCAAATGCATCAGGAGATAAATATAAAAGAGGAAAAAATGGTCGAATTACCAAATCCAATAAATCAACTAAATCCAATGCAAAATCACTACGAACAAGAAGTATTTCCCCGTCCAAGATCTGTGCAACCATTGGAATTGACATACAGAAGTTCACCGCAGCATCCAATCAAGACGGAGTCAAAAGAGGAAGATCTCGAATCGAGATCATCGGAGGGCAGCGTATCTCTAGTCAATGAAACCAAACCGGACATACACCAAAGAATTCAAGCTAGTCCGATGAACTTGAAAAAAACAAGTGATTCCTCAAGTGACGACGGTCCCTTGGATCTCTCAATGGATGTTCTCGATCTTAGCAAAAAATCCAAAGACAAGGAAATTGATAACGAAGAACAGAAAGAATTTTACAATTCACCAAATCCACTTCTTCTAACGCAAGCTCTTTTAAAGGCACGTCAAGTAAATTCCCCTCCAACGTCATTGGAAGCACTTTACGCCAACGCTCACGCAAATATGATTTACAACAATTTGGCCCTTTCATCTGGTACCGGATTGATATCACCCTATTTTTTGAACTCAATTTTCGAGCAAGGTTACGCAATGAAGGAACGATTACAAAAAGAACTTGCACGTGGTCTACAAACAAGTGGCGGATCCCTAGTTGAACAGCAACCAACACCAGTTCCTGAAAATCCAGTATTCAGTAACTATCCACCAAGAGGAAGAACTCCACAACCACCGCGCGATGAACAAATTTACACCAACGTTCAAGTATCCCCTCGCGAAAGAATTAGCGAATCATCAAATTCAGTGAAAATGGTCATAAAAAATGGTGTTCTTATGCGTAAACAAAAACAACGACGCTACAGAACCGAAAGACCATTCACTTGTGAATATTGCTCGGCTAAATTCACTCTCAAGACAAATATGGAACGACACATTAAACAACAACACAACGAACTATGGCATCGAAGACCCCGGGGTGGTCATTCAACTCGAGGACGACCTCCAGCGAGACCTCCAACATTGTTACAAAATATTGGACCCTCTCAATCATTCATAAGAGCCAAATCATCCTACGAAGCACCAAAAGAAGACGACTATGGAAGACATCCAATTTCCGATCAAGTGAAATACGCAATTTTGGCTCAACAACTCAAGGGAATTAAAACCGAAGAAGCTCAAGACTCCGACGAAGAATTAGTTATTGACGAAGAAGCCTGTGGAGAAAAATCCATCAGCCTCCTTAGGGGAAAATTGGAAAATTCCGAATCCAAAGAACCTGAACCTGAAGATGAAGACGAAGAAGAAGAACCTCACCATATGGAGGAAATAGAAAATTTTAAAATAGAACAAGAATCAATTGAAATAACCGAAACAATAATAAAAACCGAGGAGGAGGCTGCTGATCTTGCCAGTGTTCCAAAATTGATACAAACAGCATCGCAAAACTATCCTCAATTTAAATCCCAATATTTAAGCGACGAAGATGGAATACCTCATTCAAATAGCGAAAATTCAGGCAATTCAGTCAGCACTGATGAAAAATCAGAAAATTCCTCAACATTTATTAAAAAAAAGAAAAAAAAGAAGAAAATGAAAGCATCGGCCTATTCAATGGCGCCAAATCGAGTAATCTGTAAATATTGCCATCGTGAATTCCCCTGGATTTCATCCCTTCGACGACATATTCTCACACACACTGGTGTTAAACCCTACAGATGTGATTATTGCATGTTGGATTTTACAACAAAATCAAATTGTGATCGTCATTTGAATCGTAAGCACAAGAGTCTATTACAACGTTCAAATGCACGTAATATTCGTAATTCCTCATCGCCCGATAATCAAGATTCAAGAGTCACGAATAACAATAGCTTCTCAACGAGAAACGTTCCTGAACGACCCTACAAATGTAATCAATGTCCAAGTTCAACATTCGCGACATTGGGCAATTTAAAGAAACACAGATCAACGAAACATTCACGAACAATGAATTCCCGTTCAGAGACGTCTTCCAGCGATCATCAACACTCGGATCATAATCAAAAGCAAAATGATCAAAGCGGCGATGATGGCGGTTCGTCGAGTTCGGAAAATGTCGAAAATCCAACAATGGAATTAAATCAAAAGAATACAATTATTCCCTCTTCCAATGAAAATCGATCGTGTCGTACTTCACCGACTTCATCGCCAGGACCAACTGACACACCATTCAAATGTCATATTCCAAATTGTGACAACGGCTTTGCTGAACGTCAGGATTGTCTCGATCACATAAGAATGCATCATGAACGAGAATACGAGATTTTAGTATCGAAAGGCGCTTTACAAATGGGAATCACTTCCGCCGAGGAGCAACAACCTCCGGTTAATCAACACTCGAGCGATGGTCCCCGATCCCTTGACTACAAAGACAGAAAGGTATTTATATTTTTTTAAATAAATTATTAAACTGTGACATAAACATTGATTAAAAATTGTGGATAAAAAATAGTTTTTCCTGTACTATAATAATTTGTTTTTGAATTCAGGTTGTCTGCGCCTTTTGCATGAGACGATTCTGGTCGGCTGAAGATCTTCGACGTCACGTGAGAACTCACACTGGCGAGAAACCCTTTTGGTGTGATATTTGCGATAGACGATTCACTCTCAAGCACAGTATGCTACGTCATCGAAAGAAGCACGAGTCAGTTGATTCAACAATGTACATTGGCAGTGGTGATGAGGAAATTTTACCCAATCAACCACCAACAATTACGCCAAGAAGTCAACAACAATCGCCAGCTTCAATTCATGCAGCAACAACGGGCAATTCAATGATTGCTGAAAGAATGTCATCATTACCAACTGTTGCAACTATTGCAACTGGCGATGCTGCTCCAAGTAGTTTAACAAGGTTTAATCCTTACGAAAAACTAGCCACACTCACCAGTAAATTATCAAATTTCCAGAGCAATCATGATCTAACGGAAACAGGTAATGATCTGATCTCCAATTTACTAGGAATCAAAGATCCTGGTATTATTGATAAAATGCTTCTTGCTACTCCTGATGATGCTGCAAAATTATTAGGAGTCAAGGGGGAATAAATAGAAAACAATTCTTAATCAAGCAGGATTGTATCTGTAAATTGACAATTATTGTCAAGATAAAAATAGCTTTTCAGGATTAAGATATATATATTTTTTTTGTAATATATTTTATTCTTCATTAATTATTTCTATTGCATTGTGTACACGCTCGTGCCTTAGAGATAGTAATTTAAAAATTCAGTTTTAACTGGAAAAAAAGTCTGTAAGTTTTTATAGTCATAGGTAGTTGATCAATGTAGTGACTTAGATTTTAGTGTGTGTAAATAGGCACTTGGTGAATTATAATAAAAATCTCAAAATACTTTCTATTTTACATGTCAAAATTCATAGCAAGGGAAATTACTTTTGTATTTTTAATTTTTTAATTTTCATTCACAATTTTTCATTTCTTTTAAATAAGAATTTAATTTCTTGAATTTTTCTTATTCTAATTAATTTAAAAAAAAAACAATTACATGCTTTTTACGATAATTAAATTGCAAAATGTATGAAATTGAAAAAAAAATCGACATTAATTCACTATTTGAAAATTATAGTTAATTTATTACAACTATTATTATTATTATAAGTTTTTTTCGTTTAAAAAAAATCATTGTATATAGATTATATATTAAGAAATAAATTTAAGTTGCGATAAACTTTTTCGCTAAAGTTTCATAAAACAACGAATTAGAGAGTGAAATAAATAATATGTAATTTATGGAACTTTAACGAAGAAATTACAGGAAAAAAAAACCGAAAATTAATTTAAGGGAAAATATCAATCTCTCTTTTAGAAAGATTATTATATGTCGTCCGAAAAAGACATATTTATTAGATATTAGAAAAAATAAATAAATAAAGCTGATTGTTAAGATATTCTCGCTGAGAATGTTAATTAATTATATTTAAATTATTAAATTCATTAAATAATTTAAAAAAAGAGAGAAAGAGATGATAGAAAACAAACCAGAAAAAAAATTACAATTGTTTCTTCTGGAATTGTTATTATTATTTGAATCCAAAGAAACTTTTTATTGACAAATTAAGAATAGCCATATATATATATATATATATATAAATAATAAAATATTATATTTCGGTTCTATTTATTAATGTATAAATTAATAATAATAATAGTCTTCGTGTCTCTTCATGAAAGCAACGACTGCAATTTAAGGTGCGTTCCTAAAAAAAAAGGTGATTAGCACTATATATTGTAATATTTATTCTTATTAAAAGCGAGAAGTCAGTCATAGAGAACGCACTGCTACAATTAAGCCATAGAAGTAATTTAAAAAAGTCAATATTTCTTTTTAAAAAAAAATTTTGTTAATGTTCATCTTTTTCTTAAAAAGAAAATTTTCATTGTAACAAGGGCTCTTATGTATCAATATTAAATATTTTCAATTTTTTCATAAGCGAATTTATATAAATTATAGTTTAATTAAAAATTCAATTTAATAGTCTTGAATTTATTGTTAACTTTTTTTTTGGGACAAAGAAGATTTATATCTGCAATTTGAAAAAAAAGAACTCATGTGCAATAATGTATTTCTTTCTTTTTCATTGAATCGTAAAATTAAATTTCGAATATGAAATACATTAAATTTCAAATTTGTCCTAAAAAATAAGTGAAATATATCAATATCGAAATCTGAATTTTCGATTTGAATATCTAGGTTTTCTCCTTTTTGACTTTTATGTGTAGTAGAGCAAACTTATGTAATTAAATGACAGGAAATAAATAAAAAAAGCAGAGTTTATTGCATTTAATCGATTTATATTTTATTATCTAAAGATCTAGTTGTATTTAGATAGCATAAATGTGCGTTTTAAATTATCTCACCTAGTTTTCCAAGGATATGATATTACAAAGATCGCAATAAATCAAATGCTATTGAGTGCTAAGAATGATCTGTGAAACTCGATTTTAATCTGTAATCTGTAAATATAGTTGAAGTGATTTGAAAAACTTCCTTTTAAAAAAAATGCAATCCCTCGATTTGATATATATATATATATATATATATATATATATATATATAATATTTCATACACTATTGCGTAAATTATCCTCCGCTCTTTTCTTTCTTATTATATTTTCTTTCTATATACATATATATATATGAAAAATTTGACATTCGCTGTAATTAATTTCTTGTTAACTTGTGATTGATTAAAAATTATAAAATAATACTGAGTATTAAAAAAAAAACAAAAAAAAAGTGTTGAGAATCTGGCTTTAGAAAATAGTTAAACCGTGTGTCTTATTATAAATTAATAAACATTGTAACACTTACAAATTGATCTTGAGTTGTATCCATGATGAATTATTAAAATACACTGCAACTTAAAAATTATGAGAGCATTTTATTTCACTTTTAAACCAACTTTAAATTTTAAAAAAAAATGAAATCTAGTAATATTTGCTATTTTTAAATTAAACATTTGAATTAAACAAGTGTAAATAAAAAATGTGAACATCGAATTAAATTATGAAACAAATATAGAAATGGCAGTTCGATCATTGAAATAATAATTCACAAAATTGTCAGCAATATTTTTCTATCCGAAAAATGAAAATGTATTTAAAAATTTAAATCCTGTTTTCTATCAAATTTTTAAAAATCAAGTTTTAAGAAACCGAATAGTTATGAGACTTGTAAATCATTGAAATGTTTAAATTACAACCTATCGTGAGTAAAAAAAATTCTTTTTATTTCAAAAATAGTTATTTCTAATTTTTGAAAAATATTAGTTAAAAATAATGATGATCAGAAGTTGCCAGGTCACTAATAATTTTTATGAATCAAAACCTGGATCTATTTATTCTACATAAAACATTTGAAATCATCAATAATGCAAAAATTCATGAAAACCTGTTGTCATCATGAAAATTCTACTTTCGCAAGTAATCGATAAAAAATAATAAATTATTTAGAATTTAATAAAATTATTTTATAATTAATTAATTCAGGTAGATATACAGTTTACAATCATCCTGACGTAAATAATGTCGTTGAATTCATAGAAGATAAATTATATTTTGCTACATTGAATCCTGGTCATAAAATTGCACGATGTACGGAAAAAATTATATTTTTCAATACCGATAATGAATTAGTTTACAGTCCAATTAACAATGATTTTGGTCCTTTAAATTTGGCATGCGTTTATAGGTGCATATATAAATATTTTTAGAATTAGAAGAAAATTACCAAAAAGATTATTTTAAATCATTTAAATAATTTTTTGATTATTTTAAAATAGATTTTGCAATATTTTAAGTAGAAAATTAAAAAATCCCAACAACTGGTACAAGCAAATTGTTTATTATACTAGTAATGAAGATGAAAATAAAAGAGCAAATGCAGCTTTTTTGATAGCTTCATTTGCTGTGATATTTCTTGAGAAAACACCAAATGAAATTGATAAAGCTTTAACAATAAATAATTTATTTTTAAAACCATTTCTAGACGCCTCTCATACTCAAAATCTCACACTTACTTTACTTGGTAAGTATATTTTATTATAAATATAATGTAAAAAAAAATGTATAAATATTAAAAATTATGCTATTGAAGATTGTTTAAATGGAATGGAAAAGGCTCAAAAATATGGACTTTTTAATTTTCAAGATTTTAATTTATCTGAATATGAAAAATATAGTCAAATGAAAAATGGGGATTTAAATTGGTTGGTACCACATAAATTAATTGCATTTGTGGGTCCAAATACTGATAAAGATACACATTATCATCCACCCGAAAAATATTTTAATTATTTTATCAAAAATAATGTAGAAGCAATTATTCGATTGAATAGAAAATGCTATGATGCATCGAGGTAGAATTTTAAAAAGAAAAATGTTTACAAATTTTATTTAATTATACTGTAAATTTAATTATTATTTTTCTACTTAGATTCAGGAAAATAGGAATAAAACATTATGATCTTTATATGCCAGATGGTACTGTACCAGCTCGGCAAATATTACAAGAATTTCTTGAAATTTGCGAAACTACAAAGGGAGCTATTGCTGTACACTGCAAAGTAATTATACTTTAATTATTTAGAAGCGAATTTTCGATTTAAAAAAACAAATTAATTTTTAGGCTGGACTAGGAAGAACGGGAACATTGATAGCTGCTTACATAATTAAACATTATCGAATGAAAGCAAGAGAAGCTGTTGCATGGATAAGAATTTGCAGACCAGGATCAATAATTGCTCCTCAACAGAAATGGCTCGAAGAAATTGAGACTCCATTGCAGAGAGCAGGACAATTTTATAGGCAAGTCCCGTTTAATAAATTGTATTTGAAATAATCATTATTTATATAATTAATTAATTATTTCAATTATTGTAATTTCTACTCAGATTAATATGTCATCATAAAAGTAATTCAATTACTCGACATAAGTATGGTATCTATTCAATCATCTATAAATTAGAAAAAATTGGAACCTTAATTCCTAAAGAATATCACTCCTTTAAACATTTAGACAATCATTCAGGTATTATTTCCAAAAATCTTTCAATTTATTGCTTCCTCATAAAGTATTTAAATTTAATTAATTAATTTAATTTAATTTAAATTAAATTTTCATTCAAATAGAAATATTACGTCTCAAACAAAGAATCAAGCGAACAAAAAGAAAAATATGCGAAGTAAAAAATCACAAAGAAAGTAAGGAATCAAATTTTTTAGATCAAAAACTATTAAAAGAGAGTTCCGAAATTAATCAAATTTGTCCATTAAAATCAAAACATCAAAAATGGAATATTTAATTTTATTTAAAAAAAGAAATGTATTCTATTCATTTATTGACAAATTGTACAAAGTAAAACTATTATTTACAACTTAAAAAAACTATTCTCTTTTTTTTTACCATACTTAAGTATACAACCTTTAAAAGGTGTCAAAATATAATAAGAAAATTTTTTGAACACTGTCAGATATTTATATATCAGTTCTGTTACAACCTGAGTTGTTGAGATTAACTTGAAAATTTTTTTTCTTCTATCATTTCAAAAAAAAAATTTTAAGATAAAAGGTAGAAATTAATAAACTTTATACAAACTTAAATTCGACTCAAGTTCATCATCAGAAACTAAATGCTGTCTCAATCGTCTCTCCTCTAATTGTACATGTTTTTCCGGTACTGACAATGGCATTGATCTGAATAAATTAGATTAAAATTTATTTGAGAATATTTAATTTTTTTTTAAATATTCGCAAACAAAAAACAGGAAAATCTTTTAGTATTGTTTTAAAAATATAAAAACTTACAAATGAGAACATAGCTCTCTAAGATGATGGGGTATGATATATCGAGCATGAGGCGAAAGATCAGAAAATGGATCACTTCCTTCATCGAGAGTTTCAAATCCTTCGATCCTGTTAAATATTCTTTTATTCATTAAAAATTGTATTTTTAAATAAAATAGAAATAATTATCTATTTACTATTTACCTGACAACAAAATGCCTCGAATATTGTAATACAATGTGCTTCAAACTGCGTTTAGCTAAATCTACAATTGCTGGAAATACGCAATCACGAAAATCACTAAACTCCTCGATTTTCTTATTTCGCGAAACATTGGTATCAATTAAATTGTACTGTGAAGCGAATAATGATCTTGCCTTAGACGTATCTATCCAAACAACACGACAATCTTTTTTCAAAAGTTTCCCAACCCACTCATATCCACCAACAGTGGCAACATTGTCCCATTCTTCCGGTGCAAACCAATCATAAACCTATGAAATAAAAAAATTAATTATTTAAAACAACAAAAATTATTTTAAAAAAATAAAAAATCTAATTACATGACATTTCAAACAGCGTTCAAGAATATTTCGAAAATCCGACATCATCTTCATGAATGGTTTCGATCCCTTAACATAAATGATAATAATATCATTTTCTTTTTCTTTTCTCTTTATATCGACTTCATAACGAAATTCATCAGTTTCAAAATACTTAGAATCGTCTTCTTCCTTTAAATCTATAGAACATGTACTTGAATTGCATTTAGTATTCTTTGAACGTAATCTGTGTATGCAATATATACTTCCAATTATTGTTAAAAAAATTAAAAATGCAATAATAATAAATGGAAGACATAAAAGTTGGGTGGAAGCAATTTTTTCTTGATCCTGCATATTTCCACCGTGAATAACGAGTAAAGGATTTGTTTCAATTTTCGTACAAGCTTAAAATATAAAATTTTTTTTGATCAATTCGTATACATTTTGTATAAATAAAAGAATTTCAAATGAAACTTACTTTGAACCCATGTACATGGAAGATAACCTTTTATGGGAGGATTCCATCTTGTTGCCCTTTTACATCTATCATCAAGAAAATGTATCACAAAACAAAATCTTGTATTCTTAGAACTTTCAACATCAAAATTACACTCAACATTTTGTCCCAAACCTTTTTCAGCAATCTATTTAAAATATCCTCATTAGTATAAGAAAAAAAATATTATTTATTAAATATTCTACTTACTGTTAAAGTGCAATTATTAGACGTTGCATTTATTTTGTCCTGAAAATAAATAAAGTTAATGGAGAATTAAATCTATATATGTAAATAATAAAATAAAAAAAACTTACAGTATAAATTGTGTGTGAAAAAATAGTATGTTTATTAAATTTGACACAAGAATTTTTCTGATCACGATCCAATGGTGACAGGACAGCAATTTGCTGTTGTAATCCCGCAAAATGGACAACATTCGATGTGCTAGTGGAAAATGTCAACTTTTCGAAACTGCAAATATAATTGCAATAAATTATCTTGATTTTCAATTTCTTTTTGTATTTACTAATCTTATCAAGAACCATATACCTATCATGATGTCATGATAAAAGCGGGGGTTAATAAACCAAGCACGTGGATCCTAAAAACACATAGTGACAGCAGGATTTTCAAGCTGAGAAGCATGAGATGAATATTTTCAAATTTTTTATCAATTGACCTTAAATATTTTAAATTTACTCATTTGGCAGTTAACCCAATAAAAGAGATTAAAATATTATTATTATTATTATTATTATTATTATTATTATTATATCTAAATTAGCATGTTAATAAAAAAATGATTTTTAATTCTTCCATAAACCAGACAAAAATTTTAAAAAAATACTAAACCTGTGATTATCACTCGGAACAGAGGTGTATTTACAATGAAATTCTGGTGCATTGATTGAAGAATGTAAATGATCGGTTTCCATAAATATTTGCCCTCTAAAGACAAATTCATTTTCACTGATTCTAAATCGTAATGCATAACATCCAGTGAAAATGTTTTCATACCACATAGCTAGTTTTTGATCCTGATTAAAAAGAAATTTATCAGTTTTTTGAATAATCATCAATGTATAAAGAAAAATATTATTCTTACCTGACAATAAGGAATTTGTAATTCTTGACTTTTATTTAAATGATTATTTAAAATGCAATACGACTTTTCAGCAGTGTGAATTTCTTCTGCGTCAATTCCTTTTGCATGAAATACATGTTTTTCACATTCTTCAGAATTTTTAATCAATGGATTCACAACAAGAGCAACTTTATAATGACATTCTTCTTTGGGAGGATTAAAATTGACTCTTACGATACCTAAATGAAAAATATTTTTTATAAATTTTTAATTATGTGAGATAAAAAAATAGAAAAGATTGTCTAGAAATTTTTTTTATCACCTACCATCGGATGAAACACCTTCAGCTGTTTCCATAACTGTCATTATAACATTGTTTGGAATATTATCTAAACTGCATAAATTCCCATTTGCTTTATGGATATTGACAATTGTTTCATTAGTATTCTTCAATCTGCATTTATACTGTAAATAATTAAAATAAATAAATAATAATTATGTAAATTAATGTGTTTGAGTATATTTTTTTTTAAATAAATACATACTTCACAAAAGTCGTTGTTAATAAGTGAACCCTCTGACGAGAGAACAATCCACACCATGAGAATAAAAATAGAACACATTTTTTCGTCGACATTTAAAATATGTCACGAAATTTTTATATTAAATATTACATCCTTCACTGTCTGTAAAAAACAAATATAGAAACTATTAATTTTATATTATACATTCAATATTAAATTAAACGGAATGACAAACAAGAGTTAAGAATAATTTTATCATACGGACCTGATAATATATTTAATCGCTTTTTTATATATGTACATATATATATATATATTAATTAATCAAAAGATTTTATTACTATATCACTTTTTTCTTTTACTTTATATTTACTTTTTTTTTAAAGAAAAATTATAATACACTATACAGAATTATTTTATCGTTTGATTTTTTATAATAATATACAATAAAAATTTTAAGATTCTTAACATTTTTAAATTTGTTCACTTTTTTTGAGAAAATGATGCCTTGTTATCTGTGTCTTTATGAATACAAGTGATACGAAATGCAATTTTTGCACAGACCGTTTTATTTTTTATTTCTTTCTTAACTGAATAAACAAAGCTTAAAACAATAAATAAAACGTTTAAATAAACTATAATGAAAAACAACTTATTATATTAATAAAATCATTTATCTATACAATTAGTATTTATTTTTAAACTGTTTTGATTAGGATAAACATTAAATCTAAAAAAAATATATTTTTGAAATGCAATAATATATAACCTATAAAAAGATCTATTGCCTTATTATAATTATATTTATCTTAAGATAAGAAAGTATATTAACTTCGAAATTTTTTATTACAATAAACAAATACAAAAGTTCATTCTACTTCAACGAAAATATTTATATATTTGCATATTGCTAATAGATTTCTAGGTTAAAATCTAAAAACTTATTAATACTTGTTTCTATTTAAAAACAAGTTGAAAAATTTGCAAATATGAATTCACTTACCTTTTCGTGTAAATAATTGCGCATATTTTTTTTGCGGAGGTTAGCATATGCTTCAAAAATTAGTACAAAAACTTTCTTTGACAAGTGGTCATAATATTAAGTACAGTCTGTTATAAAAATCGTACACTGAAAAATTACATTACGTATTACGTAAATAATTGCAAAATTGTTTTGATAGAATATCGTCAATATTGTTTTAAATATCAATAAAAGTTTCTTGAGGCAATTTTAATTTTTTAAACTATATTTTTGTCTACATTGTTGTCGGGAAACCACAAATGATGACTAAGATCAGTTACGAGCGTTATCAACTTCAGTCAACTTCTAACCTTAAAAATGTTAACATATTCTAGTAATACAATGAATAGATATAAACCAGTACATAATAAAAAATGCAAAATTTATGCAAACATTCAAGGTCTACTTAGTTTGTAATTATTTTTTGATAATAATATTTGTTTAAATTTAAAAATAGCGCTAGTATCGTTTTGAGACTCCAATGATCACGTGATCTGGAAAGTAAGAACTAACCAATCAGAATGCTCACTATCTATGGTAATGGAAAATTCCAACAAAGTATTTTGTGTTAGTGCTCATGTATTCACACACAGTCATTATTAATCCATACACATTTCTAAAAGGAACCGAAAGGAAGTGGAAGGGGATTCGAAGGAAGTCTTTTCCGCTCGTCACGTTTTGCTGCCTTGAGCGTTCTCATCTCTCATTTAACTTATTTAATAAGGTAAGTTTAAACAATATTATCCTTATTTTATCTCTATTTTATTTTTCTAATAATATTACTTTCTTTTTGTGAAAAAATTTTCATTTTTCTATTTATAACTAAACAAAATCGAAAGATAAAGTGCACGATGGTTGTTGGCGTTCCTTTTCCCCCCCATTTTATAAAATACCGGTGTTAATTACACAAGGTTTGTTTTAACTATGTATGATTGTAAAATTTGTATCATTTTTATTCAAAAGAATTTATAATTAAAATTTTTTGAAGAAACTTTATATTACATATTCGTGATTAATAAATTACCGCCTATATTCACTTTCATAGCCGCCATTTCATCGGCACGTTTTTGAAAGTAATTTTAGATTTTTTTTAAAATATACAATAAATAAAGTAACATATCATTTGTTTTTACTGTATTGAAAAAATTTCTTTTTTCATTGTAGTTAAATTTGATGTAATAGTGAATTTTATTTGATGAGAGTGTTAATAGTGTGTGATTTCACATGATCTTTATTTGTTCATTAGATATAGAAATAGATTTACATTACGGAGAATTAATCATTGATAAATGTTTTCCGAAGACAATATTTTTAATAAGAAATTTTTTAAAAATCTATTTAATAAAATAGAGAAACATTCTTTTTTTTTGAAAATATTTTTGAATTTTTTATTATTTTGCAGTATCCAAAAACCTTTAATCAACAATGGAACTCCCAAAATGTTTCTTTGACATGAGTGTCGATGATAAACCAGTTGGTCGCATTGTCATCGAGTTGAGAAGCGATGTCGTTCCTAAGACTGCTGAGAACTTCCGTGCTCTTTGCACAGGAGAAAAAGGATTTGGCTACAAGAACAGTTCGTTCCATCGTATCATTCCAAATTTCATGTGTCAAGGTGGTGATTTCACCAAGCACAATGGTACTGGAGGAAAATCAATTTACGGAGAAAAATTCGAGGATGAGAACTTCCAACTTAAACACACCGGTCCAGGAATTATGTCAATGGCAAATGCTGGAGCAAACACAAATGGCTCTCAATTCTTCATCACCACTGTTAAAACCGCGTGGTTGGACAATAAACACGTTGTCTTTGGTTCCGTCGTTGAAGGTATGGATATAGTCAAAAAATTGGAAAGCTTTGGATCTCAAAATGGAAGGACTTCCAAGAAAATTTGCATTGCCGACTGTGGTCAACTTTAAAAAAAAAAATAAGGAAAAAACTTTGTCTTCTCAATTCCATAAAGCGGAAAAAAGCCATGTTGATTTGAAACAAAAAGCATTTAAATTTCCTTTCCCTCTGCCTGTTGTTCATTGAAGTCATGAATGGAAAAGGAAAATTCTTAACGAAAAAGTTTTGAAAATGTCGATGAAAGATCAAGAATTTCTAAATCAGATTTATCTTTAAAAAAAGGCACATTTACATTTTTCAATTCATAAATTTCCATTCATTACCTCTTTGATACATTTTTTTGAAATTTAAATTAATCAGGGTATTGAACGAAAACAAAAAACTTTTAATTCTCCGACTAGTACTTTTATGTATAGATATGGTGATTTTTTTTTAAATCGACTCTATTCCTAATAATATGTACTTATTCACGTAATAATTAACAATTTCAATGCGTGGTGGTATATTCCGTTTAAAAGTGTATACTTATGAGACGAATATTAAAAAATGTTCTTTGCCCTGGAAATAAATTTTATACTGTTTTTTTTCCCCTATTTTCAATAGTCCTTTGATGATCATATTTACAATGAATAAATGAATTTCTGTCAAATACTCATCTTTTATTATTTCTAACTATAAGTTTTTTTTTCATATAAAAAATATATATATATATTATTTTTCAAAACCTTTATTGGTGAATAGATACAATTGAAAGAAATTCAAAATTTTCAACATTATAATTGAAATATTGATAACCTAGTGAAATTAATCATTAATTTCCAATGTTATTTTTACACCTAAAAGTTTACAAATGAAAAAAAGTTACATAAGTTTTTTTGTAACAGTATGTACATCAGTGTTTAGACTTGGATATACTGGCTCTGAAAGTAAAAAAAGGTAAATTAATATAAAATTATTTTCAAAAATATCTAAAGATCTACTTACGTCTGTGACTGTTTGCTGCCACTTAGATGAATATACGGTGATTGTGTTTCCTTTTGTTTAGCTTGAAGTAAATTCAAAGTTCCTAATGGCGTATCAGTTGAAGACATTCGCTTCATAAGCACTTCTTGTTCAGATTTTTTCATTCTCTTTTCCACCTGAATTAAAACAAAAAATTATTAATACTGTCATTACTAATTATTACGAAAATTTTGCAAATACAGACCTTATTCTTTCCTGGACCTTTTCCGTGGAATTTATGTGAAAGATATCTAAAAGCTTCCTTTGCACTTAAAACATGTCCATCGTCATCGATATATTCCAATTTCACATTTGGTTTAAAACAATCCTTATCCTTGAATTCAGACGTCGGACCATTGAATCGATCTCTTCTTCCAAATTTATCATCATCGCTGAAATCAAAATTAAATATTAATTTTGTTTTTTGGAACTCTATAATATCTTTTGTAATTTTTTAATTACCCATAAGTTTTATCCTCAATGGAATAATTTTGCGCTTGCAAATGTGCAAATCGTGATGCTGATGGACGATTTGAATCTTCCTTTTGTAAATATCCTTTACTAATTGCTAAAGTCAATGCTCCTCCAACGCCTTGACCTAGAGAAGGTTCTACATCCAAAATTGGAGCTTCCAATGCAGCGGGTTCAATAACTGATTCTTCTAAAATAAAAATATTCTGTAGTTTTCCTTCTTCTTAACAGAAAAAGAATAAACAAACAAAATTCTCACCAGTTTCGACACTATTCCAAGCTCCACGTCCTGATTTATCATCATTTTCGCCCATATTGTCGTCCTCGATCTCCTCTTTTTGAAAATCCTAAAAATGAAAAAATTTAAAAAATAAAAAACAATTACAAATATTTAAAATATTAACATACCATTAAATCTTGAACGTTTTCTTCTCTGTTTCCAGAAAGACCATAAGTAGGAATATCGCCAAGTGTTCGACAAAATTCAGCTGTTGAATTTAAAACAATGTTACCAATCTGACTACTTTCTTTTTCAGGATCTGGTTTTATATTTGAAACAACTTCCTCAATGCTTGCTGCTTGTAATGTTTTTGAATGTTTCGCTTTTTTTCTAGCAAGTTTCAAATCAAATTCCTTGTCTTCTTCTTCGATTTTTATTCCGGATATGTTTTCTGGTGGCGCTGTTCATTGAAAACGTAACTAAATTGCCAAAAAGTAATTACATGACTAGTAATGGCATGTATTTTATAAATTACAAAAAAAAGTAGTCACAGCCCTTGATGACTTAAAATTCAAAAACTCACCTTCATAATCGTCAACATCCATTATATCATCCTTAGGTTTACTTTCAATTTTACGATTTCGACGACTTCCTAAATCTTTCAAATAATCATTCGAATCAGGTACAAGATCCGTGGCTTTGAGCATCTTTTTCGATCTAATTTTACGAATCTGTAATAAAACAAAAAAACAAATTACAAAAATTATTACAGTATTATAAAATGAATATTTTGCGGTTGCAAATCAAACCTTCTTTTTCGGTTTTTTAAATTTGGCCATTTCCTCTTCATTATAATATTCACTTGCAAGTTTTGGTTCGGCAAGTTTTAATGACTCTAATCTTTTGTTTGCCAATCGCTGTTTTACTATTTCTACTTGACGTTCTTTCATTTCTTTAAAATTGTTAACACCTAAGGCAAAACTTTCTTTTTTCTGTCCATCAATCTCTTCGTCATACTTTTCTAAAACTGTTTTCATAGGCATTCCAAATTCATCGAGATTATCTTCTTCATAAGCATCATAACCGGGCTTTTTCTTTTTGTTAATAACGCTTCGTTTGTAACGTTCATCATCCAACATGTTCACATTTACAAGAACATCATCGTCTTCATCAAGAACACCTTGATCTTTTAATGTTAAAATTGTTGTTCTACCCTCTTGAAAATTTTCCTATAAAAATTCAATGGATAATTTTCTGAAACTTTAAATATAAAACTAATTAATACTAAGTATAATTTTTGTACTTACAACATCATGTTCGACTCTCAAACCTTTCAAGTCCCTTGTTGAGTAAGCTTTATGTCTTTCACTTTGTACCTCCTCTTTTACCAAATTCCCAATGCCAAATTCTTCATCTAATTGATCCAACATCTTTGCCTAAAACAATAATTGTTTCCATTAATTTTAATGAAATAATTTTCTCCTTTTTGGTGCACAAAACAAAAATTTTTACCCTCTCTTCTGCTTTTTTCTTTTCCACTTGCATTTTTCGATTTTTTTCAATCCAAGTTCTAGCATCATCCTCCGAATCACTTTCGCCAAGTTTTTTAACTTTTGCCAATTTAGTTTCAATTTGTCTTTTTTCACGCCAAATACTAAGTTTCTCTTTAATTTTCTTAGCTCTCGCTTCATCTTTCTTATTTGGTGCTGGTTTATGATGAAATTCGCCCAAATCATCTTTGAATACATTGAGATCGGATTTTGGTGCGTCATGAACATCCAAAGGAGCTAAACCAAGTTTTGCTCTCAATTTATTTGTTTCTTCAACAGATAAAGAAAGTTGTGATCCACCACTTTTTGGAGAAGGACTCTTTTCTCTTGATATATCTGGAGGTGGAGGTGTTGGCAAATGAGCTTTTGATATTTTTGGAGGTGGAGGCGCGCTGACAATTTCAACTAAAATATTGAAAATAATGTTACAACGTATGTATATTTGCTTCGGTAAACAAACAAACAATAAACAATTTATCATTAATAATAATTAATTACTTACTGTCACTGTCATAATCTTTGCGTTCTTTCTTCTTGTGCTTTTTATGATGCCTGTGTCTTTCTTTATCACGTTCAACGCGTTCAATTCGTTCAACAGAAATTGAACGTGAACGACTTCTATGTCTCTTTTTCTTTTGCTCACGACATTTATCAGATTTATGACGTTTATTTGAACCCATTTTTTAATAGCTTCCAAATTATTTAAGAATTATTTAGAATTTAATAACAACACTGAAAACAGCGACGTGAAGTTGGCACCGCAAACTCATTAAATCATTATTAAACTATATCAAATCGTTTGGTAATCGTATGGTAGTGTATGGTAATCAGTTTTAATTGTTTGGTAGTAAATATTAAAAAAGTTATTTAAATTTTAAGTTCAAAGTGCTAACTTCACGGTAGCACTACACTATACAATTTTTTAAGATAATTCAAAGTGGTAACGTTTGGTAGTTGTTTGGTAGTGATTGGTATCTACTTTCTGATGTTTGGTAGTAAAAAAAAACTAAAATATAACATAAAAATAAATGTACAATGATGAACAGGACTGTCATGCTATTCAACATTACGCATGCGCATGACGGTCAGCCATTATGAATTGCCGGCAAAATTTAAATGCAGAACAATTTGTTTAACACCACTTTGGTTAAATCAAATACATGTATAAAGATAAAAATTAAATAAATTCAATTCTCTTAATAAAAAAAAAATATTTTGTATAATTCGTCACATTAAGTTCTTAAAAAAATAAAAATATTTTCTTTAAGTGCTGCAAGAGAAATTATCGTTTTTCAAAATTTCTTTTTTCCCTACAATCCCTGACTGACACAGACGTTTGGTATTGCTTTTTCATCGTTTGGTATTAAAAAATTAAATTGTTAATTAATTAACTATTAAAAAAAATTTTTTTTTCTTTGAGTGCTGCAAGAGAAATTATCGTTTTTCAAAATTTCTTTTTTCCCTACAATCCCTGACTGACACAGACGTTTGGTATTGCTTTTTCATCGTTTGGTATTAAAAAATTAAATTGTTAATTAATTAACTATTAAAAAAATTTTTTTTTTCTTTGAGTGCTGCAAGAGAAATTATCGTTTTTCAAAATTTCTTTTTTCCCTACAATCCCTGACTGACACAGACGTTTGGTATTGCATTTTCATCGTTTGGTATTAAAAAATTAAATTGTTAATTAACTAAAAATGAGAAAAAATTTTTTTTCTTTGAGTGCTGCAAGAGAAATTATCGGTTTTCAAAATTTCTTTTTTCCCTACAATCCCTGACTGACACAGACGTTTGGTATTGCTTTTTCATCGTTTGGTATTAAATAATGAAATTGTCAATTAATTAAATATTAAAAAAAAATTTTTTTTCTTTGAGTGCTGCAAGAGAAATTATCGTTTTTCAAAATTTCTTTTTTCCCTACAATCCCTGACTGACATAGACGTTTGGTATTGCTTTTTCATCGTTTGGTATTAAAAAATGAAATTGTTAATTAATTAACTAGTAAAAAAATTTTTTTTTTCTTTGAGTGCTGCAAGAGAAATTATCGTTTTTCAAAATTTCTTTTTTCCCTACAATCCCTGACTGACACAGACGTTTGGTATTGAATTTTCATCGTTTGGTATTAAAAAATTAAATTGTTAATTAACTAAAAATGAGAAAAAATTTTTTTTCTTTGAGTGCTGCAAGAGAAATTATCGTTTTTCAAAATTTCTTTTTTCCCTACAATCCCTGACTGACACAGACGTTTGGTATTGAATTTTCATCGTTTGGTATTAAAAAATTAAATTGTTAATTAATTAACTATTAAAAAAAATTTTTTTTTCTTTGAGTGCTGCAAGAGAAATTATCGTTTTTCAAAATTTCTTTTTTCCCTACAATCCCTGACTGACACAGACGTTTGGTATTGCTTTTTCATCGTTTGGTATTAAAAAATTAAATTGTTAATTAACTAAAAATGAGAAAAATTTTTTTTTCTTTGAGTGCTGCAAGAGAAATTATCGGTTTTCAAAATTTCTTTTTTCCCTACAATCCCTGACTGACACAGACGTTTGGTATTGCAATTTCATCGTTTGATATTAAAAAATTAAATTGTTAATTAATTAACTATTAAAAAAAATTTTTTTTTCTTTGAGTGCTGCAAGAGAAATTATCGTTTTTCAAAATTTCTTTTTTCCCTACAATCCCTGACTGACACAGACGTTTGGTATTGCTTTTTCATCGTTTGGTATTAAAAAATTAAATTGTTAATTAATTAACTATTAAAAAAATTTTTTTTTTCTTTGAGTGCTGCAAGAGAAATTATCGTTTTTCAAAATTTCTTTTTTCCCTACAATCCCTGACTGACACAGACGTTTGGTATTGCTTTTTCATCGTTTGGTATTAAAAAATTAAATTGTTAATTAACTAAAAATGAGAAAAATTTTTTTTTCTTTGAGTGCTGCAAGAGAAATTATCGGTTTTCAAAATTTCTTTTTTCCCTACAATCCCTGACTGACACAGACGTTTGGTATTGCATTTTCATCGTTTGGTATTAAAAAATTAAATTGTTAATTAACTAAAAATGAGAAAAATTTTTTTTTCTTTGAGTGCTGCAAGAGAAATTATCGGTTTTCAAAATTTCTTTTTTCCCTACAATCCCTGACTGACACAGACGTTTGGTATTGCATTTTCATCGTTTGGTATTAAAAAATTAAATTGTTAATTAACTAAAAATGAGAAAAATTTTTTTTTCTTTGAGTGCTGCAAGAGAAATTATCGGTTTTCAAAATTTCTTTTTTCCCTACAATCCCTGACTGACACAGACGTTTGGTATTGCAATTTCATCGTTTGATATTAAAAAATTAAATTGTTAATTAATTAACTATTAAAAAAAATTTTTTTTCTTTGAGTGCTGCAAGAGAAATTATCGTTTTTCAGAATTTCTTTTTTCCCTACAATCCTTGACTGACACAGACGTTTGGTATTGCATTTTCATCGTTTGGTATTAAAAAATTAAATTGTTAATTAACTAAAAATGAGAAAAATTTTTTTTTCTTTGAGTGCTGCAAGAGAAATTATCGTTTTTCAAAATTTCTTTTTTCCCTACAATCCCTGACTGACACAGACGTTTGGTATTGCTTTTTCATCGTTTGGTATTAAAAAATGAAATTGTTAATTAATTAACTATTAAAAAAATTTTTTTTTTCTTTGAGTTCTGCAAGAGAAATTATCGTTTTTCAAAATTTCTTTTTTCCCTACAATCCCTGACTGACACAGACGTTTAAAATCATAATTGTAAAATTGTTTGTTATGAATGCAGTTGTGGAGGGCAGAAATGAAGATTAAAGCATTAATATACGATTTAATTATATTTTACTGATAATTTATTCCTTACACCTTTGCACTTATAAAATATATTTTAAAATATGATTTTAATTTTTTCGCATTATTTGGTTGTTCTACAAGAGGTACATTATTCACGTCTAAACTAAAGGCTCAGTCTAGTGTTAAGGCCAACGCACAATAGGTTCGCGAAAGTTGTTTGCAAACGAGATGCATGAGATAGAAAAGGATACGAATATATCTCTGTCCTGTTTTAACTCATGTGTCACGTTCGCGAACGTCTTTCGCGAAGCTATTCTGCTTAGGCCTTTATATAAACGATAATGGCTGCCTGCATGCAGCTAAAAAGGTGTGAGAGCTTCTTAACTTACGTCAAGAAGAGAAAGAGGATTGCGGTAAATTGCAGATGGATTACTGGCACGTTCTTCTCTTAGAAGTTATGAGAAATTACGAAGTTTTTTTAAATTACTTGTTTTCGAAAGGCATAAGAAGAATTTTTTCGCAAAATATATTCGGGGACGTGAAACATGAGTTAGAAAGGGGCATAGATATATTCGTATCCTTTTCTATCTCATGCATCTCATTTGCGAACTATTGTGCGTTGGCCTTAAACTAAATGGCCATAGTTATTGTAATAGAAATGGAAAGAACATATAGGGTGTTTTCGGGAGTTGCTGACAGTATACTGACAGTAAAAAATTACCCAATCAGAATAAGCATGCTAATGGATCAGCCAATCACAATATACTGACAGTATACTCACAGCAACTACCGAAAACACCCATAGTGCGCACACACAACTTAACATTGCAAGCCAGGGTTGCGAATGTAATATACCTCAGGTAAATAACATAGATCTGTATATAAATTTTCAGAATGCCAATTTTTTTTATTTTCGAGATATTAAATGTCAAAGATTTTATGTCCGCGCGCGCCAGTGTTAAGGCCTATAGCACAAGAGAAACGTACCGATATCGTAATCGCAAACGGAAGAATTAGTAAGAGAAGAACAACAATATCTATCCTTCTCCTACTATCCTTCTCTAACGCATTCTTCCGTTTGCGATTACGGTTACGTTTATATTCTGCTCAGGCCTTATTCTGAGTTACGCGTAATTGAGCAACCCTGCTAATCGCCTTTATGCTTTTCATGTAAATGCTGCTGTAAGAAAAGTGTGTCTATGAATCAGCCTTTAATATTTCATCTCTTTTGGGTTTCCCTTTATCTGATGTGTTTTAGATACGTTTAAACAATTTTGACGTTAAAGTTTATTCTATCAATTAATGGTTTAATATTATTTATCAAGTGCATTTCTTATTTATATTATTACTTTTTTATAATAATCAATTATTTATTCAATATGTGATTAATTTCGGTGTCTTTGCTGATGGTCAAAAAATGGCCTTGTACATTATGCTATAGTAATGAAGTTTATAGAATTTGATAGTTTTTATGGTAAGTATAATATATTTAATTAATAACAAAAACTGTTGGTTTCGTTTTATATATTGTTTTTTCAAATTTCAATTTATTGTTTTTGTAATTTATAGACTTTAAAAAGTTGTATTTGACAAATTCTACGACACGTGCAACTCTTATCTACCTTATTAGTTCTGAAGCTGCTCAAAATTTTAAAGGTAATGTTTACAAAAATAATGTTATAATTAGTAATAAAACTTTTTGTGTTTATGTCATATCGATGTAAAAATACATAGAACAAAGATTTAGAGTAAAAATAAGAAAGATGGTTAACTTTCGATACAAATCATTGATGCTTATGTTGCTTCTGTATCTTTAATCAGAGTATTTAAATAATATATTTTCTTTTGTAAAAAGTAAGCCAAAAGACAAAAATTAATTTTTTTTAACTTTTGAATAATGCTGGATTTTTTTAACCATTTTTATATATATATACATATGTTCGAAAATATTAATGTCCTATTTCAAAAAGTTTTAAAATAAATAAGATACACATACAATTTTCCTTTTATTAAAATTGCAAGGTGTTCTGATTAAAAGTGTACATAGGTGATTCTTCGCGAAACGCACAATTTAGTTATTGCTAATATTAAAAATTTTTGTTTTAAACAAAAATTAAATTATAATCTGCAAGGTTTGTGGTCAAGAATAAAATATCCGTGGTAAACCTGACAAAATATTCATAACGCAGAAGAAAAACTGATTTTTCAAACAATTAGCGATTTTCATTCTGTTTCATATTCAGGTCCTTTATTTTTACTAAACTAATACTACTACACTTTAGTTGACGTAAAATATTAATAATTGAACCTCCCAATTCTATAACTCGTTTAGCGCTCGGCCGGACGCTCTATTAGTAGTCGGGTAGCAGGGAGCGTCA